GGGGGACAGAAGAGGCTCTCGGATCTCCTGGAACTGGAGTTACAGATAGTTGTTAGCTGCCATGTGGGTGCTGGATTCAAACCAGGGTCTTCTGCAAGAACAACCAGTGTTCTTAACCGCTGAGCCATCTCTCCAGCCCCTTTTTCTTTCTTTCTTTCTTTTTTTTAATGTGTATGTGTGTATTGTCTGCATGTAGCTAAGTGCACCCGTGTCGTGCAATGCCCGCAGAGGACAGAAGAGGCTGTAGGATCCCCTGGGACTGGAGTTATGGACAGTTGTTAGTTGCCACGAGGGTGCTGGGATTTGAACCTGGGTCTTCTCTAATATAACACAATTATTCTGATTTTTAAAAAATATTTTATTATTTTTATTTTATGTGTATGTGTGTATTGTCTGCATGTAGCTAAGTGCACCCGTGTCGTGCAATGCCCGCAGAGGACAGAAGAGGCTGTAGGATCCCCTGGGACTGGAGTTATGGACAGTTGTTAGTTGCCACGAGGGTGCTGGGATTTGAACCTGGGTCTTCTGCAAGAACGGTCAGTGTTCTTAAACACTGAGCCATCTCTCCAGCCCCAATTATTTTGACTTTGTATTCAGTAACCTTCACTTACTTTTAACAGTATATTATTTCATAGAACCCATGGGTTATTTTTCTTCCCCTTCCCCCCATGGGTATTTTTCTATGTACACAATCACATTGACAAATGCAAACCAACTGACCCTTTCCTTTCTAGTCTATATGCTGTTTATTTTTCTTGCTTTATTGCACTACCTATGTATAAATGATATAAAGTTGAGGTGCTAATGGAATGCCTTTTTTTTTTTTTGGTATTATCTTGGACGAAATGGTTTAATGTTTTACAATTAAGATTGGTCCTGGCTATAGGTTTTTCAGTGTCTTTTGGATTCAGAAAATTTCTTTTTATTCTTCGTTTGCTAAAAGATTTTATCATAATGGGTTTGAATTTTGTTAGACTTTTTCTTCATTTATGGAGATAATCTGTTTTGGGTTTTTTTTTGTTTGTTTTTCATTCTGCTAATGTGGTATAAATTATTCTGATTTTTCAAGTGTTAAACCAGCCACCTATTTCTAGAGTAAACCTCTATTTGATTATGGTAACTGACCCTGTAATATACTACTGGATCCAATTAGCTAAAATAGTCTTAAGAGTTTATTATATAGAAGCTGGGCATGATAGCAACACAACTGTACTCTCAGTACG